TGACTTGAACTTTTGTGGATATGAGTTGAACCTTTAGGATATGAATTGAAATTTTGGTTTATGTATTGGAATTTTAGTTTATAAATTAAAATTTTAGATTGCGGGAGGATTTTATAGAAGGGGTTGATGACTTATTAGGCATGCAATGGAACTTCCACCAAGAATAACTAAGACACAGTACCCGGTAGAGTGTGCTTTTAATTGTTCTTCTCATTAGCGACAATGATGATGAGAAGGCAATGACATGTGTATCAAATAGTGATGGTGTAGGTAGGAAGCATTTCCTATTAGATAAAAGAGGTTATAGAGGAATTCTCTACTTCATTTTCCAAGAGGAAGATAAGTTTAATTGAGAGTGACAAGGTTATTGGTGATGGAATGTTTTACCGTTGGTCGTGGCAGTTCCCATAAAACAGGGATCATAAGACTCTATGATGACAAAGACGAAAGGAAGTTTTATTCTCAACTTTCTTCTAAGTCTGATCCGTAAAAGCTTAATGGAATTGGTGATATTTATTCGGATTCAGATAATGATTTGAGTGACAAAAGTATGAAAATGCTAATAAAAAGAATTAAAGGTAAAATATTTTTCTTGGAAGAGTAGGATGCTTCACGTTCATGCAGAGTTCAGCATCCTTCTCTACCAAGAAAAACGTTTTTACCTTTAATTCTTTTTATTAGCATTTTCATACTTTTGTCAGTTAAATCATTGTCTGAATCCGAAGAAATATCACCAATCCCATTAAGCTTGTACGGATCAGACTTGGAAGAAAGTTGAGAATAAAATATCCTTTCGTCTTTGTCATCATAGAGTCTTATGATCCCCGTTTCATGGGAACTGCCACGACCAACGGAAAACATTCCATCACCATCAACCTTGTCACTCTCTATTAAACTTCTTTTCCTCTTGGAAAATGAAGTAGAGAATTCCTCTATAACCTTTTTTATCTACTTAGGAAATATTAAATTCCTACCTACACTATCTCTATTTGAAACACAAGACATTGCCTTCTCATCATCATTGTCGCTAATGAGAACAATAATTGATCAAAGACACACCCTGTCAGGTACTGTGTCCAAGTTATTCTCTGTATCCAAGTTCATCCCGAGTAATAGTAACACGAGGATAATCACCAAAGCCACCAGATAGTTTTATGATACCAATGAAGTAAGATGAGCTATTCAATGAAACTCGTATTGTAAAGAAGAAGAAAGAGACTGATTCAGAAAGGTGGGTCGAGGGTCGAGCCTCGACTATACATGTAAGTTTTTTTACTTTTCATTAAGTATTTTGATTTACTTTTATATAAATTTTGAAATACTAATTCAATATAATTTTTCTTATAGGTTCGCTTCACAGCTGATGTGGGGGAATTCATACGCAGTCAGCCACCTAATGAGTCGGGCAAGGCAATCCAACTTTCGGACGAGGATGCTGAAAGAACACTCCTTGAGTACTTTATATACTTTGAACTAGACAATAGAACCAGTTTTCGAATGGGCTTGTAATAAGCGTTAACTTAGTTTTGTTAGCTTAATGTGTTAGTTCTATTGAACTTTATACTTTGTTGCTTTTAATTGTTGTTGTTGTTGGCATAAAATGCCTGTTTAGGATTTTTGGTAAGCTGGCAGGTGGTGTAGCTGCCAAAACAGGCAGTTTCTGCCAAAAATATACCAAGAAAAGCGACCAACTTTGGTCTCTAGTTGGTCGCTTTTCACTTAAAAAAACAATTTTCTGCGCAATAGCGACCAACCTTGGTCGCTACTTAACCCAGATTTCTCAAAAAAGCAACCAACTTTGGTCGCCATTCCATTTAAAAAAATAATTTCTGGAAATATTGCGACCAAAGTTGGTCGCTTATTATTTAAAAAAAATTATTTCTTGCAGTTGGCGACCAATTTTGGTCGCTTATTTAAAAAATATATATATAAAAATTAATAATAAAGCGACCAACTTTGGTCTCCATTTTCCAGATTTTTAAAATATAATATATTTTGCAGACCAAAGTTGATCGCTTTTTATGATTAATAATAAGTAAAAAAACGTAATTTACATTTAGAGACCAACGTTGGTCGCCAAATTTATATTATTAAAATAATATAGCGACCAACGTTGGTCGCTACTTTCTTTACAGGAATATTTGGTCCTTTTACCTTAGAGACCAAAGTTGGTCGCTAATTTGGTCCTTTTACCTTAGAGACCAAAGTTGGTCGCTAATTAGCGACCAACTTTGGTCCCTAAGGTAAAGGGACCAGCTTAATATCGACCAGCCCATTTCGGTCGCTATTTGGTCGCTTTTTGGCCAATAAGCGACCAACTTTGGTCGCTTTTTGTGGTTAATTTTTTCCGGATTTCTAGTAGTGTCTTGTGTGATTCAAGTGTGCGAACCTAAAGCTAAGTGAACCAGATAGAAGAACTAGTTCCAAGTGTTTGTCTTTTATTCTAGTTCAATTGTAGTAGGTGTTTTCATATTTTACCTTTCAGCTTTATCTAGAAGCAATTGTAATAGGTATTTTGAGTATTCAAGTAAGAGTTAACTTGAAGTTGTCGCAACAGTTAGATGATGGTTGCCACAACGGAATTAGAGTTAATCCTTATGTTTACAAAGTGTTGTAAATGCTATTTTGGCTTAGTGATTTAGTGAAGTGTTGGGAAAAATTCTACTGAGTAGTAAGTCGTGGATTTTTCACCTTTTGAGCCAGGTGTTTTCCATGTAAAAATACTTATTTCTTTACTTCCTGCATTTACTATTTCAACAACAGTAGGTTAAGGAACACTTAGAAGAACCAGGTTCTTCTATAATCAGTGCACAAAAAACATTTGACACCACACAAATCACCCTCTCTTGTGTGGTATTGAAGTTAAAACATTATATAGGTATTAAATTAAACCTTTTCCTTTTCTTTTCTTGTTTCGTTTTCTTTTATTTATCGATTTTTATTTCAGTTTTTTTGGGTCTTTTGGGTGGAAGAATATTAGTAAACAAGTCACAAGTTGCTTTTTCTGTGTCTTTGTTTAGAAGACCAAGCAGCAACGACCTGTCATGGACCACTTTTTACCCAAATGACCCCTTTCTTCATCTTCTTTAATTTGCATTTAAATGACTTCAAAAATTTATAGCGGGCACCCAGTAGATCAGAAATGCTTTATAGGACATGTTTGCTGAGTCTATTTTACAACCTAGGCATTAGCTAGTTTAATCAGTTTAATTAAAGATTTCAAATATTAAGTCTTTTTTATCGAGCCACATATCCTGTGCTATCAATTTCATGAATGGTTTAGGTATGTTTATTATATTTATAATTAAATGCTAACTAGCTAGCTTATAATCATTTTAATTACATATTTCAAATACTAAGTTTTTTTTATCCAACCACATATCCTGTGCTATCAATTTCATGGCCATTACTTCAAGATACTTTAGTCAAAAGGACCTGTGCCAATATTCGAGTACAATAGTACATTTTTCATACCTTTTTTTTTTTTCCAATTGAAATCTTTAAATGAATAAAGCCCATTCCTACTTCAATTGGAAGAAATTCAATTGTAGGAATTTCCGCATTGTGACTAGGCTTTTTCTACCAAACATGACGGTACAATTCTTGTCTAAAACCCCCAAAACAAACAAGAGGAAGAAAATGTCTTGAAGGAAAAAGAATTAACTTACATACACAATGGAACTAAAATTTTACATTATCACCGTATTATAAGCTACTTATAACAAAGTGTAGTAGGTAACTTGTCATATTTTCAAGTTTACTAATCTTACTTATTATGGTGTTATCTTTTAAGTCATCTGATATTGTTAAAATTCTTTTACGTTCTTTTAATAAGTTATATACATTGCAAAAATTATGTTACGCTATTAATCTAGTTTAACCTATAATAGCAAGTTAATTATTATATTATACAGTTTATAAACTAATATTTACCAAAAAAAATTACTTATAATTAATAACCTTATAATCTGATTGTTAAAATATTTTTTTACAAACTCAAAAAAGACCCAAACAAAAAGAAGGGAGTTTTGAAATTCTGCAAAGTGGTTGGCACTTTCTATAAATTACCTACTTACCAGTGGCAAATTGGTAATCAAGATCCTTTATAAATACGTTAGAACAAGACACATTAACTCACACCCCACACATCCAAAGTAAAGAGAAGAAAAAACAATGGCTGGCCCCTCTCATCCAAAAACTCTCCCTACTTCATCTTCTACTACAACTCCATCATCTTCAACCTTAAACTCCATGAAGCTCAAAACCCTAGTACAATCCTTCATTTTCTCCCACTTATACCGCGTTTTTCGCGCGCTAGCCAAGGCCAAATCTATCTTGTTTCAACTTGTCAAGAATGTACAATTAGTCCATCTTCTTGAATTTCCCATGATGAAGAAAAACAGGAAATACAAGAACAACAAGCTTTTTCTTGGCTCATTTAGGCTTCACTATAATTGGTGTTCTTCTCATGTAATGCCAGTGCCAGTGCCAACAGCCCTTGAGGATTGTGCCACTGGCCATGTTTATTATGATTCTACGTGGAATTCTATTATTTCTACTGCTTGTGATGAATCTGAGCTCTCTGGGTATCTTCAATGGCTTGAAGAGAAGGCTTGTGAGGAAAATAATGAAAAAAATACAAAGAATGGGAATGATATTGATAAGCTTGCTGATATGTTCATAGCAAATTGTCATGAAAGGTTTAGGTTGGAGAAAGTTGAATCTTATAGGAGATTTCAAGAAATGTTAGCTAGAAGTGTATGAGGCTAGCAAGTTCTACATAAATTTTTTTTTTTTTGGGGGGGTTGGGGGATTGGGGGGTCATTTTTAGATAATTAATTTTCTTTCCTTTTTTATTTATTTATAATTTTCTCTCATTTTGGAAGGTGGAGTTTTTTTATTTCTTTTTTCTATTAGGCCTTGTGAGATAACAATAGGTAGTAAGTGGAATAGGGAGTGAGATGGAAAATCTCACTTTGGATGCATGATTTGTTAAATCATGAGATGAGATATATGAGGAGGGTATGGAGAATTGTACATGATGGGGTTCTGGGAATTGTGCAATTCTTCTCTTTAATTTAACATATGTTAATACCTTGAAATGTGAAATTTAGCTTTCTCCATTTCACTCCCTTTTACTTTTTTACCTGTCCACTCCGAATTTTTCACGTCTCTTAAAAAATAATAAATGGAGTGTATAATTTAAATTCATATTATTAATGAATTTGAGAAAATGATTTGAAATCAGTAACTAATATTGTGGGTATAATAAGAAAAAAAAAAGAAATATTTTTCTTGATATGTTAAAAGTGACAATTAAAAGTGAAAATCTATATTTAAAATACTGGACAAGTAGAAGTAAATTAAGGGAGTATTAAGTACTTGTTAAATGAACCCCCTCCCCCCTCCTTCCCTCTTATTTCCTTCTTTTCTATGTATTTTTTTTTTCTTATTTATGTTTGGAACGCTTGATCGGTTTATATTATTTAAATGTTTAGTGACATCGAAAGTTATTAGTTGAGTTTGTATTTTTCACATAATAGTCTTAAGCTGAATTACCTCTAATTCTTAAAGGCTGTTATAACAAGGATACATGCAGATTAACAAATAAAACCAGTATTGAAAATGTACTTAAAAAAATTGAGGTATCCCTAATTGCCAACGCCATTGTTTCAACACAACTAAAAATGCTAAATTTTGTTAAAAGAGCAAGGAACCAAAAAAAAAAAAGATTAAATAATTAAATATATAAACGAACAATAAGGTCCCTAAAAGTTAGATTAGATTTTGGCTCATTAAAAATTCGTATGTGTGAACGTATTTCACTTTTCATTATCCAGATATTTTAAAATTGGATAGTGACATTGGTTAAATCTCTTGGCAAACTCCTCTTTGTTTTCTGGGTATCTTCTTATTTTTCAGTTCATGAGTTTCTCTCTGTTTTGTCTCTATTCCTGTGGGCCAAACTTTTGAAGCTTTTGACACTTGTGACATTATGTTAATGAAAATAAGAGAATTCTTTGTGCAATAAACTTTAGTTGTGGTTTTTTTTATATATGGTATCATTCTCTAGTGAAATGCTATCAACGGTTTAAAATTTATTAAACAGAAAGCAGTTCCGATAATCAAGGTGTGAGTGGAGGTGGAGTACGGTGGTTCCTTTGTATAAGAACAAAGGTGATATTTAGAGTTGTAACAATTATAAGGGTATTAAATTACTGAGTCATATATTATGAAATTTTGGAAGAGGGTGGTTGAAGCGAGGGTGAGGAGGATGATGTCTATATCCGACAACCAGTTCGGGTTCATGCCGGGTCGTTCTACTACGAAAACTATACACCTTATTAGAAGGTTGGTAGAACAGTACATAGAGAGGAAGAAGGATCTGTACTTGTTGTTTATTGATCTAGAGAAAGCGTATGATAAGGTTTCTAGAGAAGTTCTCTAGAGATGGTTGGAGGCAAAAGGTGGGTCAGTTGCCTACATTATGACGATTAAGGACATGTATGATGGGGTTAAGACTTGTGTTAGGACAGTAGGAGGCGACTCTGATCATTTTTCGTTTGTTATGGAGTTACACTAAGGTTCTGCACTCAGCTCGTTCTTATTTGCCCTGGTGATGGACGCGTTAACACACCATATTCAAGGAGAGGTGCCCTGGTGTATATTATTCGTTGATGACATAGTTCTGATTGATGAGTCGCGAGCCGGTATTAACGAGAGGTTGGAGGTTTGGAGACAAGCTCTTGAATCTAAGGGTTTCAAGCTGAGTAGGACGAAGACGGAATACCTGGAGTGTAAGTTCAGCGCTGAGCCGAAGGAAATGGGCGTGGAAGTGAAGCTTGAATCACTTGTCATCCCAAGTAGTGGTAGCATCAAGTACCTTGGATCGTTCATCCAGGGGGAGGGGAGATTGATGAGGATGTCATACACCGTATTAGGGTGGGGCGGATGAAGTGGAGGTTAGCGTCTAGAGTCTTGTGTGACAAGAAAGTGCCACTGATACTCAAAGGTAAGTTTTATAAAGCGGTGGTTAGACCGGCCATGATGTATGGGGCTGAGTGTGACCTGTTAAGAACGCACATATCCACAAGATGAAAGTATCAGAAATGGGGATGTTGAGGTAGATGTGCGGGCACACTAAGATGGATAAGATTAGGAATGATGATATTCGGGAGAAGGTGGGCGTGGGTCCCATTGGTGACAAGATGCGGGAAGCGAGGCTCGGATGGTTTGGGCACGTACAGAGGAGAAGCTCAGATGCTCCAGTAAGAAGGTGTGATCGACAGGATTTGGAGGGCATGAGAAGAGGTGATCAGACAGGACATGACGAGGCTTTAGATTACCAAGGACATGGCCCTTGATAGGAAGCTGTGGAAGTCGAGTATCAGGGTTGTAGGTTAGGAGGTAGTTGAGTCTTTCCCTTCTTCGTACCTTTGCGAGGCTAGTCTGGCAGGATTTTTGTTAAGTCAGCTAGTGGCAAATGTTGTGTCTTACTACTCTTTCGTTTTTCATAGTGTCAGGTCTATGTAATGGCTATCGCTTTTGCTTTGCATCTATTTTCTGGTTTCGTGATCTTATTTTTCCGATGGTTTCTGTTGGTAGTAATGATATTATCTCTTTTCGTCTTCTTGAGCCGAGGGTCTTTCAGGGACAGCCTCTCTACTCCCTCGGGGTAGGAGTAAGGTCTGCGTACACACTACCCTCCCCAAATCCCACTATTGAGATTTTACTGGATCGTTGTTGTTGTTGTTGTTATTGTTGTTGTATTTTATGAGTTTAACTTTTATACACCAATAGTTAAAAGAATTTTATCATACCGATAGTTATAAGAAGTTGTACACTATCCAATTAGCTAAAGGATAACAATAAGTAATCATTTGTAATAAATGAATTAATAATTCATAAAACAAACTAGATAATCTGCTACAGCAGATTAAATACACTGATAGTTAATTAAAAAAGAATTTACAATGTCAGCTTATATAAATTAAATACGTAATAAATTAGTAACTTCTTTTGGTAAAATGATTATAATCCTATTTAAACACAAACATGACTTTACCTTCGTTAATAATCTACAAAAGTAAAAATTATGGAGAAAGGGTTGAAAATCAAGTGTGATTTTAGTTTTGTTCTTTAAAACCATTTTTTGAGAGAGAATGGCACAGGACAAAGACAAGGTCAAGATTTTGAGCATGGCATCCACTGTCAATAACATCTTAAGTTGTTAGGTGAAGAAGTAGTCAATGGGCTAAAAAAAATTTCACCTAGTCTCGTATCACCAATTCTAACCACTCCTAGATCAATACATCAAGGGTCGTTTGGTTATCAGGATTGGAACATTAATCCTGTGTTTTTTTAATAGTATTAGCTAGAATTAATATAAATTCTATATCAAAATTATTTGGTATTATTTATCGTATATTAAATGTTGGATTGTAATTTATCCTTGTTCCGAACCAAATTACCCCTAAGTTTTAGGTTTTACTTTATTAAAAGCTAATTTCTGTTATGAAAAAAAAGTTAGACAAAAATGAACCGAAAGATTGTTGATAGTAAATGTTAAATTAATGTCAGTAATATAAGACAAATGACATTTTCTTATCATCTTTATACAATTAAAGTGATTTTGAAGCTGAAGCCAAATGCAGCTTCAAGGATTTTAGTTAGGTAGGAGTATAAGATATTTTAGAGACGACAATTTTAACTAGAAAATTTAACTCAGCCGAGGTACGATATTATCGGCAAATCCCTAGCTTCTATTAAAATAATATCATAAAATCTAAGATGAAAAAGAATATTATTTTAGCAGGTTCAGCGTGTAAACTTCTCTTTTACCTGCCACAATCCATCCAAAGGAAAAGAAAGAAAAAATTGCGTACATGCCAGCTAACACTCATTTGGTTACGTAGATTTACCAAATTTGGTAATTAAAGAATACTTTTTGTTATATATCTATAACGATCCGGCCGGTCGTTTCATGAGTTACCACTCCGTTTCTCCCATTTTCGCTTTCTTATGTGTTGTTCAGCAACATTTCATCGTATCGCGTTGGCTGGTTCGGGCTTGGGTAGTTTTGGAGTATTATGAGACACTTAGTCTCTTAAGTTGACCATTTAGTTGGAAAAATAAATCGGAAGTTGACTTATGAGTAACGATCTCGGAATTTATTTTTTATTATTCGGATAGCTTCATGAGGTGATTTGGGACTTAGGAGCATGTTCGGAATGTAATTTGGAGGTCCGTGGTGGATTTAGGTTTGAATTGGCAAAATTGGAATCTTGGCGTTTTCCAGTTGGTAGTGGAAATCTTGATATCGAGGTCGGAATGGAATTCCTGAAATTTGATTAGGTTTGTAGTGTCATTTGTGACGTGTGTGCAAAATTTCAAGTCATTCGGAGTTGATTTGATAGGTTTCGACGTCGTTTGTGGAATTTGAAAGTTTCTAAGTTTTTAGGCTTGAATCCGAGGTTGATTTGGTGTTTTAGAATTATTTTGAGTAATTCGAAGGCTCGACTAAGTTTGAATGATGTTATGGGATGTGTTGGTATGTTTGGTTGAGGTCCCGAGGGCCTCGGGTGAGTTTCGAGAGGTTATCAAACCAAGTTCGTGGTTTGGAGAGTTGTAGATTTTTTCTTCTGTTCTGTTGCAAAGGTTCCTTCTTCGCGATTGCGTGAGGAGGCTCGCGATCGCGTAGAGCATTTCTGGAAGCAATCAAGTTTGTTCTTTGCGTTCGCGTATTAAGGGTTGCGATCGCGATGGTTGATCAAGTGAAGCATCGCGAACGCGTGGTCTAAGTCGTGTTCGCGTAAGGTTAAGTGGACCAAAGCTGGGGAAACATGTTTGTTCTTCGCGAACGCGTTCAGTGGTCCGTGATCGAGTAGGTGTAAGGGATAGAGCATCGCGTTTTCATGGAGAGCGACGTGTTCGCGTAGAGTTATTTCTGAAGCCAACAAAATTTGTTCTTTGCGATGGTCTTTCCGCGATTGCGATTAAGGAAAATCACCTGGGCAGAATGTATATAAAGCCACTTTCGCGATTTTTAGGCCATTTCTCACCATTGTTGGACGGTTTTGAAGCTTTTTGAGAGGGATTAAGAGGGATTCGAAGGGAAACACTT